ACATTTCATATATCACAGGAAAAGTAGTAATAACATCTTACTCATTCAAACTTCATCATTCCTCATAATATTTTAAGTTAGTGAGAGGGAGGGAGACGGGGAAAACTATTTTTCAACAAATTATATTTTATATTGTCTTAATGTTGGTTCACATTTACATTTATATTTGGTGCGTAGTTTCAGTATATTCACATGAAACCAGCTATAGGTGAACACGTCCTGCGTACATTTACATATCAGGTTGGCTGACTCAGTGTTTTGTTTGAATAAGAGTCTCTACTTTCACTTGGTGACGAGACTAATCACTGTCATTTCAGTGTTTATTTATTCGCCACAGACTATAAACAGTATCAATGTTGTCACTCATATTATTCAGTTTCAAGACGAAATAACGACGGAGAAATGTGAAGCCAGAAATGTCGAATTGATTTGTCTCTATTTTACGTATGTTGGTAAAGGTGTCTGTAGAATTTGTGACAGCGATATAATTCAAACAAACATAATTCACATAACGACACTCTCTTCAGTAATAAGGGTCTGTGATATAAAATACGCCAGTACACTCTCGGCACATACTACCTAACCAAACGACAACATCATGTAAATCTCTGGTTAACATATCCGACGCTACGTTCAATTGTTTTATCGACAATTAGCGCTAACAAATTAGAATACTGTACACTCTTAATAAGCGGAGAGTATGGCATGTATATCCCGTAAGTAACCGAATAATTTCACATCGGCCTGACTCGTGTTTAGAAAACCGATTGTACTGTTGAAGCTGTTAACAAATAGAATTAAATAAATTAGTTGTGCGAAACAGCATCTTTTTCAAGTTAGCACCATCTTTCGATGAAATTACCAAATTTTGTCACTTTCTAGGAAATAGTTCACCAATTGTTCATGTTACATCATTTCTTGTAGATCAAGCACTTGTATATGTATGGTCGAAATGATATATATTTGGTAATTATTTATCTATCCGCGACCTAATTTCAAAGATCGTTATCTTATAAAGCTACAGTGAAAACTCAATCCCCCTGAGCAAATATGAACACGAAAAATATACGATCGTATTCTCCTATATCTCAGCTTTCTAAAAACATATACAGTATCGTAGCTTCATGCTTAATAACGGTTGGTAAAGTCCGAATTTACTTTTAAGCTGTTACTTGTCCCCCTCCCTCTTTCGTTACCTTTAGGGAGGTCACGGGAGTAAGCTGTAATAACACAATAATAGAAAAACCTATTAGTTTATGATCAACCAGATATCATGAATATTTTTATTTAAAACACCTTGTACACATATGAGCAATTACCTTGCCCTTGCTGTTGGCAAAATGGAAGTCATTGCGCCTCTGTCCCAGATACCATCAAATTGTCCAACCATATCTCTAGAATGGAAAAGAATAAAATAAAGGTTGACCAGTGACGGAAATTCAGATGATGTGGTGTTTTCAGTGATGAGTGATATTTCAGATCCATACAAGATGATCCATTCAACAGATCTAGGTTGGCATTTGTATATAGTGCATTTGAACTTGATTTCATTATTCATTGTAGTGTATATGTACGTATTGTCTCAAAGACTTCTCTGCTCTGCTTTCAGAAATGAACATGAAATGAATGAGGCAGGAACCACACTTGCCATTATCATTATCAACTGAAATCTTGATTTAGCATTTACCACATATGGTAGTTGATTTGTTTTCAGTAGGACATTCACCTCCTCGAAACAAAATGTATAAGAAAAAGTGGAGACTGTGTGCAAATCAACCATGTCAGAGCAATGTTTCTGGTGAATCATACCTACCTAGATATATCGAAGATATCACATTTGTAAAGTTGAATTCTTCCATCACTACTCTGGGGTTGAAAATGCAATGATTAGTATTGGGCAATCCAATTTCCATGTCTATGTTTAGGGTACAGATTATATGTTGGCTTGCACACAATTATGAAATGTGTTTTGTACTACAGTTACAGCAGAATCACTGGATACTCAAATAGCACAATGTGCTGCATATGTACTAGACAATATTTGCACAAGAAATACATACATTATAACATTTAAA